GGCGAGAAGCGCGCCCCCCGCCTCTCGGCGGGGGGGGCTACGACAGAGGGCAGTGCGGGCGCGGGGCCGCAGAACGAATGCCATGCCGCAAGACTCTCTGATCGTCGGCGCCCGCACTGTTGTTTTCCAGGCCGGGCGCTGCACCATGTGCGTGACGCCTCAAAACGTTGGTCTCGCCAAAATGGGCGCCGCGCTTGTAGCCTGTGCGTGTGGCCGGGCGCCACGCCCCTTCCTCCTTGTGTGGGCTTCCTCCCCTGCACCGCCAACTGGAGCACTCACAAACCTTTGGCCCTCCTGGAGGAGCGGCCGACCCCAAACAAATAACACACAATCAAACGCCCGCGTGCGGGTACGCCTGACGGGGTGCGTCGGCCTCTGAGCAGCTGCCCGGCCCCTTCGTACCCTCTCCGAGACCGGCCCGCTCGTGCGAGCGGCGCGCGCACGCGCTAGCCGCAGCCGGGCTCCGTCCGTCTGCGCTGCGGCGCTGCGGCCCGCTATGTCGGCCGCCCACCAGAGCTCTCTCACCCCCCAAATCCACCTGCCCGTCCCCTGGACTGCCACGGACGCCGGCGCCATCACCTCATTCCCAATCCCACGGCCTTAACCTGACGCGGCCCCGAAATCAAGTCCGCCACCTTTGTCTACTTGGGATGGCGCTTAATATTACGCACTGCCCTGTGCCGCCACCACGCGTGCGCGACGGCCGGTCGCTGCCAGTCGGCCGCTCGCCGGCTGCTGTTTTCGCCTCTCCTTGCCGGGCTCTTGATCGCAACGCGGGCAGAATCCACACAAAATGCGGTGGCCAACGACTGCAATGCCTGGGGGCCCCCCGTGCCGCGGCCTTACCCTCCATGATCGGAGGGCGCCACCTGGCAGCTCGGCGCCGACGCCACCTTGGTTTTTTCTATGTCTGTGAGCGGCGCCATGAAAGTCCGCGGCCGCGTAGACCAGGCTTCAGGATCTCTCTATCTGTTGTCATTGGGACCGCCCCGCCCAGCAGCTTGCTCTGGGTGGATGCCTCGCCGCATCCCACGCCACAAGCCGCGCTGCAACATCGCTGCTAAACCCTGATGTTCGCACAAGGTCGCTCGGTCGAGCGTCGCGGCCGTGGGCCACCCAAACTGCCAGTCAACTCTTGTTCACTCTCGTACTACTGAACTGTTTAGGTCGCGCCGCCCACTACGTCGCTTTGGGTCAATGCCCGCGACTCCCGCCTATCCAGCAGCACACAATACAACTGTTGATGCGCCTCATGTTCTTACGTGGCGCCGGGACAGCATACAGACACATTGTGACTGCCAAACGCACGTCGCCCCCCTTCAAACCCGCTGGCACGTGCGCAAGACCGCACCCCCTTTAAACACACATTTGGGTGCACTTCAAACCATACACATCACCACCACCGCCGCCGCCCCACATATACACACATTGGCCACCTGTCCGCACTGTGTGCCACGCCCCTCACCACCCAACTCCTCGAGGGCGGCGTCACCTTACTACAGCAATCAGCCTGGCCCAGCTCTGGTTGTACCAGCAGGCACGACGACCCTGCGCCGGCGCGTGGCGCTGCACTTACAGGGCCCCCCACAGGGTCCTGTGCGGGGGGCTCGATGAGTCAGATCGAGCGCGATACGTGTTGACTAAAAATCTTGACGGGCAATCACACCCGCCACCCTTGCCCCCACTTGGTGTGCTTGCCCCCTTTGAGTCCTGTCGGGCCCCGCTCCGAAACTTGATAGCACAACTGCCGGCCTGGCACGCTGCATCGATGCGGCGTCAGCCATTTGCACGACTTCCTGCCGCCCTGTGTTCTGCCCTGCTGCCATCGCCGGCCGATGTGCGCGCCAGCTGCGCGCGCCTGACATGGAGGCACCCAACCAAGTCCGCACTTCTGCGTCGCCTCCTTGAACATGCTGGTGGTTTGCTTCGTGTGATTCTGATGCTCAGACGGTGCTCTTTGAAGAGCACATACCCGAGGGAGGCCGCCGGAGTGGTGCTCACGCCAGCGGCCACCTGGCCAGCGCTCCTCTGCCCAAAGACCCACTGCCGCCGTGTGCGTCCGTCGGCGCACGCCCCTGACGCTGCTTTCCACGCACGCCGTCTGTGTACATTACATTACATTACATTACATTACATCACGCTTTTCCAGCAGCGAGGGAAAAAACCCTGGCTCCCCAAAGGGGTCACGCCCCTAACCGTAAAGGCCAGAGGAGAAAGCGGGTGCGGCCAAGTCGGGCATTAGTAAGAGGGCGCACGCCTCCTTGGGAGGAGAGACAAGCAAGCCTTGTTCCAAGCGGGGCGGTCAGAGCAGCGGTCGTCTAGGTGAACGGGGACATCGATCCCTGTGGCAGCACAGTCTCGCCTCGCTACGTCAAACCATGACACGCGCGGCCGCCCCACAGCGCGCGGGCCGGGGGGCGGCGCTCCAAAGCCGCCGTCTGTGTGTCTCGTTTTTTTGCTGCGACGATCGCCCAGCCCACAGCTGGGTCGACTGCCGGTGCATTTGCGCTGAACTGCCGGCCAACACAGGCCACGCCGAACAAGATCTGCACTGCGTGGGTGCCAAGCGTCTGCTTATGCCCCTAACGTTGACGCTGACGGCTTCCTGCCATCCGCATTGCGCAAAGGCGTCGTCACGCCGGCCCAAGCTGATGCCTTTGCGCGTATGTTGGAGGACGGCCGCGGCATCTCACTCCCTGTACCACAGCAGCATGCACATGTTCTTTGCGACCTTTCTATGGTGTATGCCTGTTGGGAAATCTGTCTAATGACAATGTAGACGTGCATTGACAGTGCCGAGTGATCCATCCAAACGGAACGCGCCAGCCACTTGGGCGTCGTGGCCGCCTGCAGTGCGCACTGCAGGTTGGGGGGGCCAGGTCATGCAAGCTGTGACCAAAGCAATTACTAGAATGTTGCAGCGTCCCGGGGCCCGTGGTCGCTTGCTTTTGTCACCCTGGAGCCATCCAGGCAGGCCGCGGAAAATTGGAGCTGTTTGGCCGTGATCCAAGGATTCAAGAGCTGGCCCAAGGTTGGCCAAGGGTGGGGTCCCACAGGACCAGGGCCTTGCGGCTGGGCTGCCCGGGACAGGCAGAGTCAGTCGTATGTGCCTATGCGCGGGAGATTTGCAACCAGCAAGCCCTGTTTTGAAGCTGCAAAGTACCGGCCGATGAGCGCGTATTGTTTGCACCTTCCTGTTATGGAGCATTTCCAGGGCGCGCTGCATATGGGCAGGCCGGCCCGTGGCTGCAAACCCCAGTCAGGGTCGTGTGCGCTGCCTGGCCCAGCCGGCGCCTGCCCCACACACCGCCCTGCGCTACCCCGACGCCGTCCTGCCGCTGCCACCCGCAAGGGCACTGCGCACCCCGGCAGAGTGCATGTGCGCAGCTGCGGGCCTCCCTTCCCTCCCGGCCCACAAAACACCGTCAATTGCAGCGGCTGGGCTGCAGCCCGACCCTGGCCGTCATGAGTTACACCGGCCGAGCGCTCTGCACGGGGGGACAACAAGTCCCGTTGGGTGCAGGACGGCGCTCGAATCCTCACGCCCAGCAGCACCCACCAAGCGTGGCGGACCGATGTGAGCCCATGCTACACACACCACCACCCAGGCGAGCCACCAAGTTTGGATTCCGCCAGCCCCGCGCCGCCGCGGCTTACACGCGCCGCCTTCGCGCGTCTGCCGCGGGCTGCTGCTTTGGCCGCGGGGCCGCGAGCTCCCTGCGGGCGCGCATCCTGACGAGCCTCATGGCGCCGTGCTTCAGAGCGTCAGCGGGGGTCCTGCGCACGCGCAAAAGTGTGTGTGTGTGTGTGTGTGTGTGTGTGTGTGTGTGTGTGTGTGTGTGCGCGCGCGCGTGCGTGAGCGTGCGCGCGCTCGTGTGGTTGAGATAGGGCACACAGCGCTTGCGCATGGAACACGAGCGGCTCGGCACCAGGCCCACGCGCCGTGGTCTTGTATCCCCCGTCCCTCTCACGCGACTACACGATCTGCGTGCACGCTCGACTTGTGTCAAGGCCAACGGCCACATGGTGCAGATTTTGGCTGTGCATCCCGACCACGCACATATGAACACACCATGCACCCACGCGTGCGGAGATGAGGATGCACATGCGGGGACATACATGCGCACGCGCGCCTGCCACACCTGCAGCACCATGGCGCCAGTATGGTATCGATCCAGACCTCAAACTGGGACCGCGTCAGGTCGTCCTTGAAGCCGCCAAACAGCAGGCTCGGCTGCAGAGCCAGGCAGGCGGGCGGGCGGCGCGCGCGGATCAGCACTGACGCGGGGAGCGAAACGTGCTGGTGTGCAGACCGCGCGGATGCAGCCAGCAAGGGGTACACGAGCGGCTGCCGTGGCGAGGACGGCAGGGCCGCCGGCGAATGGTCACACCGGTCCGTTCGTCGCCGCACGTCCTTACACCGTTGTTCGTGCGAAACGCGGGCGTGCTGATGACCACAGAAGGGTTCGCTGACTGGGCGAGGTCCGCTTTCCCGGGAGGCGGCCCGTTGCTCTGCACGGCCGGCGTCCGCACCTGCGCAATGTGCAGCAGCTTGGCCTTGGCGTAGGGCTTGAGGAGCTCCGCGATCTGGGTCTCGTCGATGGCCGTGGGCAGGATGACCTGCGGGGGACGGGGAGGGGGGACAGGCTTTTGCGTGTGTGTACGCGCGCGTGCATGCGCACAAGCGCGGCGCGATGCTGGTCCAAACCTGACAGCAGCTGGTACTGGTCAAAGGTCAACGAGCGCGCCACCTGTCGCAGTGATGGCAGGCCGGCCCACGTCGAGGGCCTGACAAGACAGCACCCCAACCCCGCCGACCCGACCCAAGACCACAGGCGCGTGCGTCCTGTAATTGGGCCCCCGCCCTACCTGCTGGTTGACGCGCCGCGGCGGCCGCGTGTTGTTGACCTCCGCACACAGCGCCGGCCCCGGCTCCCCGCACCGCGGCGCGCCGGCGTGCACCTCCGTGCGTGCGTGCTTAACCCAGCCTGCGGGGGTAGCGCGGGGCCGAAAAACAGCCAGGGAAGAAGAGGGTTGGCGAGCCGTGGAGATGAGCGCGCGACGGCCCCATGGGCGGCCGCCAGCTGCAGGGGGGCTGACTATAATCGGAACGGCATTCGGCACAGGGGCGCAGCCGGAGGCCTGGGAGACAAGCGGCGCCCTCTTGCGGAGGGTCGTGGGGTGGACTTGACGGCACGCAACATGTAATGCCACCGGCTTGACCCATTCCCCCGCACTACCTATATCGCACAAGACGGCGACACGCCAAACCATCAAACACTGAGTACTGCAGACAGTTTCAGGCCGCGTCCAATGGCGTCTGCCGGCCAGCAGGCCGCGCGCGCGCCGCGCCGACCCGCCCCCCACCTGGGGTGCGTGCGTTGTCGAGGAAGGAGTGCTCCCTGAACACGAGGCGGCGGCCACCAAAGGCCGGCAGGTGGGCGTAAAGGGCGCGCGGCTTGAACACCTGGTGCGGCCGGCACGGGGGGTGCGCGGGTGCGATGTCACAAGGAAGGCTTAGGAGGGTCAAAGGGGGTATTGTCGATCTGAAAGGGGGAAAGCCAAGGTGCCGGTCAAGGGGTGACTTTGGCAGGTCCTGGCAGCAGGGGAGCGCGAGGGCGGTGCGGCAGAGTCACACAGGCGACGCTGGCGGGGCTGGAGTGGGGG